AATTAAACTAAATAAAATTAAATAATTTTAATAGAATGATGAGTAGATATAACCATGTCTTGGAAGGTACTAATACAAGTAGTAAAATAAGAGTAAATTATTGTATTTATTTGTTTTAATTATCAGACTTTTTAATTGGTAGTGATTTAATTTATTTATTAATTTATATTTTAAATACAATATTAAATTTTTTATTAGGTTTGACTTATATTTACTAATTTTTTAGTGAAAACGTTCCAAAAAAATTAGTCTTTAACAAAACACTACCTAACCAGAAAGAAAAACTACTAGCAAAGAGGAAAATAAGTTAAATAACCCATAAATCCCAACTATCCCCTTTGCTCGTTGGGCATTAATTATTTTACTGTAGCATGCACAACACAACAGTATCACTCATTAACTTTCTCTTATTTTTTTGGTACTGATCACTGGTTAACATGTGATAGCCCAATTGGGTTTTTCTTGTATATTCTTATTAATTAACAAGAAAAAAAATTCGATGTTATATATCTCATTTTAATTACCACCAAATAAACCCAAAAAAGGCCTTCATAAGTTGAATGTAAAGGCCACTTTACCCCTTTATGGTTTGAGACATGGTTCTTTGCTCCATGAATTCGTTTTGTTGCCATCGTTCGCTGTATTTCGAGAATGCTTCATATGATTTTAATTGATATTTTAACAGTTTAGTTATTAAGAATAATTAATAATTAATAAAAAATTAATATTTATTAATTAATAAATTAAAATTAATTTACAAACAAATATTTTTAGATATAATAATTAATTATTTAAGAAAAATTATAAACTATAAAATATCAGTAAAATTAATATTACTAAATCCTAGGGATAAATAGTAAATACCGTTTTTTCTTAGTAAGACATACCAAAAAATTTTTAAGCCAAATGAATTGTTAAGGTTTCTTAACTGGTGTTTTAGGATACTTTTTTATAAAAAAATATATATGTAGAAAAAAATAAAAATTAGTGAAAAATATAAATCAGTCTCAATTTTAAAAAAATTATAATTTTAATATTAAATTATCTCATTTTGTTTTAGTGTAAGGACAGGTCCGAGGTGCCAAGCCTTGAACTGCTACAGTAATCCTTTTATGACCGAAATGAAGGATAAACCCAAAGCTTCCCGTTCAAATAACTGCATAACAGTAACAATGAGTATGCCTGCACCCAATTCCTTACGATGAGCTACACAGCGGTTATAATAGGCATCCTCCCATCGGAATATCTCTCAATTTCTCGGTCCCAAAATAACCGTTTGGAGATACACATCAGATCCTGAATATCTTGCTTGGCATGCTATATGGGCTCCTCATTAGATCCTATAAATATCCCCCGGGCCACGTAAAAAGGTAATTTTTTTTTTTTTTTTGAACAGCAAACATGTTATTTATTAATAGACGGAATACAAGGGGTACTCCAAACCCTTAACATCAAAAGTTCATGTAAGGTGTCGACACCCAAATATAGTGTCGACACTATACCCGTACCGGGGAATCTGCCATCTTTTGCATTCTCATCAACTCTCCCTGTTCAAATCAACAAACCAACACCCAACACACCCACTTAATCCCATAACAAGAACAGTATATATAAAAAAAACACCTCTCGGCTGTCATGGATTCACCCCTAGCTCCCGTCCTGCAGCACTACATTTTCCTCCCCTTTTATCTTGCAAGCATTCCATAGGTTCCAACCCTAAGCTCTTTTTATCTCCGCCCTAAAGGTAACCCCGATTATTGCTGACTTAAGTATTGGAGTGTCTATCCCGAGTTCCACCTCGGGGCTTTGAAGGTCATCCCAGAGTGCAGACGCGGACTGAAGAAGGACTTTTGGTTTGGTGCAATTACACATACCGAAAAATTTTTAAGCCAAATGAATTGTTAAGGTTTCTTAACTGGTGTTTTAGGGTACTTTTTTATAAAAAAAAAATATATGTAGAAAAAAATAAAAATTAGTGAAAAATATAAATCAGTCTCAATTTTAAAAAAATTATAATTTTAATATTAAATTATCTTATTTTATCTAATTTAAAATTTAAAAATTTATTTTATTAAATATTAATATTTAAATTTAAAATTTAATTAAATTTTCAAATTTTATATTAAAATTTTAATTTTTAAATAAAATTTTATTAAAATAATAGAATTTAAAAATATTTTTCTATTTAATTTTTTAAAAATTTGACCAAAAAACATTAACTCATTTTAATATAAATATTAAAAAAATAAATTTAATTAAATAATTAATAAATTAAAAATTAATTGTTATCCTTTCATTATAAAAGTTTATAAAAGAAAATATATATATTATATTTTTAATTTTAAAACACATGTTAAAAAATCTTGTTAATTAAGCGTTAAATTCCTACCCAACAAATGGAGGGTATTTTAGTCCCAGAAAATGTAATTTGTCTACCTTTCAAGGGCAGAAAGGTAATTCAGTAAAATCATCATTTCCTCCATTATAGAAGAAACCCTCAGTCCACCAACCCCTTCAAAAAATCCCACTAAGCATTTGCTTTCCTCAAACACCGAACTCACCATCCTCAACAAACACCAAAATTACCTTCTCTTCATTTTCCTCCTCGACATTTACAATCATTTCATTTACGCCCTCGTCTTCGCTGCATCATGTGTGGAGGTGCTATAATCTCCGACTTCATTCCGGCCACGCCGTCTGGCCGGGCCAACCTCTGGTCCGATCTGAAGAAACCTGGGTCTAAGTCCGGATCGGGCAAACGGCACCGGAAGCAGGTGACCAATTTCGCTGATGACTTCGAGGCTGACTTTCAGGAGTTCAAGGATGAGGAATCGGACGTCGATTTCGATGATGGCTATTTAGCCGATGTCAAGCCGTTTGCTTTCTCTTCTTCAACGAAAACCGCTTCTGGTGTTTCTTGTGGTAATGATTCTTTCATTGTACCTCGTTTGATGAATCTGCATGGGCTTTTAATGGAATTTCCATTTCCGGAGTTTCTTGTTTCTGGGTTTGCTGTTTCGTTTCCCATCATTTTCCAGGAAATGGTTCTTTTGTTTTTCGTTCAATCTCTCTTTGTTCTAATTTTTTTCACAATCAAGCTCCTACTTGTGCTTCAATTTTATGATTTTTCTGTAAATTTCCCAAATTTCTACGTTTGGTATAGATACCTCTTTCCTTACCTTCAAAAATTTAGGATTTTTTAATCTCTAGTGGGATCACTGGAAAATTTGTCAATTACTTTTTCTTGCTTCGTGGGTGTAAAGATTATTATTTAATTTATCCTTTTGACTCTGAGATCAACTTTTCATTGTAAAAGAGAGACTTTCTATGTGAAACCCTTTATTGTGTTTTACAAATTCCATAGTAATTAAGATGAAAAATGTTTATTTTCTTTGTTTCAGTTAGAATTGTACAATTATTTCTATGGGGGTTTCTATTTTGGTATCCTCTCTTTGATTTACATTTAAAAATTCTAAATTCATGTGTATCGAAGGTTTCTTGGATGATTATGGAGATCTTCAGTAGTAATTTCTAGGAAATTGAATTTGACTGTTTAACATCTTTTTTTTTTGAACAGCAAATTGACTGTTTAACATCTAATTGGATAACTTCTATATCAGTAATATATATGCCTCTGCAGATCATAGAAAGGAGAAAAAAAGAAGTAATGTGTATGCCCTTTTTTTGATTTCCTTCTCCTTGTAGTACCTTCTACCTCAATCTAGGACTTAAGAAGACATCCTCTAAAGGGTAAATTAGGTGTACTTTGTTAAAGATTTGTTCTTGATAGGAAGAGGGTTGAATCTTTTAGTAGTTTACAGTTTTAGGATTGTTTTCAGCTTAGGATTTTTTTCCTTTATAAATTTTTCATTTCATATTCCTAGTCCTAAATCTTGTTGCTTCTAAGATATTTGACATTTTGGGTGTGGATTCTCATGGATGTTGTTTCCCTTCTCATTTTTTGTTTGTGCATCTGTCCAAAATTAAATTCTCTCTTTATTTTCTGGAGGCTCGAATACTGTAAAATCTGTGGAATTTACTGGGCAAGCTGAGAAATCTGCAAAAAGAAAGAGGAAGAACCAGTACAGGGGAATTAGGCAGCGTCCATGGGGTAAATGGGCTGCTGAGATCCGTGATCCTAGGAAAGGGGTTAGGGTTTGGCTAGGGACTTTTAATACTGCTGAAGAAGCTGCTAGAGCCTATGATGCTGAGGCAAGGAGAATACGAGGCAAGAAAGCTAAGGTGAATTTCCCAGATGAAACCCCTAATGTTTCTCCTAAGTGTTCAGTGAAGTCGATCGCTCAGAAACCACTTTTGAAGGCAAATCCAATTCCTGTTCAACCAAACCTCAACCTGAGTTTCAATTACGTGAACAATTCGGAACAGGACTACTACAATTCCATGAGTTTTGTGGAAGAGAAACCAGCAATGAATCAGTTTGCATGCATGGATTCCTTCCCTGCTAATGGTGATGTTGGACTCAAGCCCCTTGCTCCATCTCACAATTCTCCCCTGTATTTTAGTTCAGATCAAGGAAGTAACTCTTTTGATTGTTCTGACTACGGCTGGGGAGAACAAGGTGCAAAGACTCCTGAAATATCATCTGTTCTTACAGCTTGCATTGAAGGTGACGAGTCTGAGTATTCAGATGATGCTAACCCAAAGAAGAAGCTGAAGTCAAACTCTGACAATTTGATTCCTGTAGAAGACAATAATAGTACAAATGGTATGTCTGAAGAGCTCCTGGCTTTTGATAATCAGATGAAGTACCCTCAGACCCCATTCCCGGAGGGTAACTGGGCTGCTTCAATCGACAACTTCCTGAATGGGGATGCAACTCAGGATGGTGGGGACACAGTGGACCTTTGGAGCATTGATGACCTCTCTGCCTTGTTTTTGAATCCGGGTTTCTGAGCAATCTTCTCCCGTGCTTGCTAGTTTTGTAAATAAAGCTACATGTTAGTGAGTTCCATTTCTCTGGAAGTTCCTTTCCTGTTTTAAGTGTGTTATTATTCTCTTTGCATTGATGTATATTTATTTATGGATCAGTACCTTGTTTTTTCTTTCTTACTGCTCTCAGGACCTGGAATCTGTCATGAAGTTGGGAGTAAAACTGCTGAGCCTGCTTAAGTCTTTGCTGGATAATTTTAAGGATTCTTAGTATAATAGGGAGTATGTAGGCTTCTAAATCCTCCTTACCTATCCGTGAGACTTTTAACTTCAAAGTTTAAATATGCGTGAGTGTATGTGTTTATGTATTGTTTATGGAGTACTAAAACCAGTTGAATAATAATTTTGCTGTTTGTTCCCTTATTTTCCCTCATCGTTTTGAAGAGGGCACAATTTTGCATCTGTTTAACCGTCTAGTCGGCTGCTGATCTCTTACTGTTTACCAATATTATGATAATCTTATTCTCCTCAAAGGAAAATTATAATTTTGTTGATACTCTTTGTACGTTCTAGTAGTCTACGGCTTCATCTCTTGGATTGCCTATTGCCTCACTGCGTTTCATCTTGGATGCAATTAATTTTTCTGTTGGAAACTGAGCTTATTTTCATCACCAGCATTTGAATTGCATGAACCGGATTTGTCGGTCCAATGGTTCGACTCCAAGCCTTAAGTGCTTGGATGAGGTGGTTGGAGTTTTGAATTCTATCACCATCGTAAATTTCACTAAAAAGCGATTTGATGACTGCGTGCCTCATTTGAGAGGGTGGAATGTTTACTCGATTTGAGAATAAGTTACTAATAACTAACTCGTATTAATTTCCTAACCATTATTCTTATATATATATATAAAAAAAAAAGCATTTGAATTGCATGAACCGGATTTGTCGGTCCAATGGTTCGACTCCAAGCCTTGAGTGCTTGGATGACGTGGTTGGAGTTTTGAATTCTATCACTATCGTAAATTTCACTAAAAAGCGATCTGATGGCTGCGTGCTTCATTTGAGAGGGTAAAATGTTTACTCGGTTTGAAAATAAGTTACTAATAACTAACTCGTATTAACTTCCTAACCATTATTCTTATAAAAAAAAAAAAAAGCATTTGAATTGCACGGCTTTCATTTGTTAGGACTTTGAACACTACAACGTGTTTGGATTGAGAGAAATTATCATTTCCCTCTATCCAAACAAGCTGTAGACTTTTGCCATGAATGAGTGGGGTTTTTGAAAGCAATGAATTGGGGTATTGATTTCTCAACATCATGTTTCCTCTTGGTGTGAATCAATATTTTCCTTTGTGTGGCCGTAAAAGGGCTAAAGGAAGACACAGGAAACAATGGAGTAGGTATGCGGTGACCATGTGAGCTCACATGCCCTTCCAACTTAAAAAATGAAGCATGGGGGATTGGGTGAATTCTCCTGTTCCTGCACATGCATTTAGAGACACATAATAATACCATGAAATTTGTATGATGAAGAAGTCAAAAGATCAATGAAGCCGTGATGGGGTCAGTGCCCCATCAGGCGTAGCTTTTGGGATGATGACAAACCCTGGAAATTGTGAAGGAAATAAGCCAATAAACGCGGAAGATCCCGAAAATAATACCGTGATCATTTATGTCATTGCCTGGAAATTCATGCCTCACGCGAGCGTTCCCCTCCAAGAAAAAAATGGAGCTGACAAGGAACCTTGCTAGTATTATGTGTTTGGTTTTCTTTCTCTGTGTAGTAGTTGTGCCGTATCTTGAATTAGATTACCCATACGTATTGATTCATTAATAATATTTAATTATGTTTTTAAGTAAGGACTAAGGTGACATGCATTGGCAGCTGAACTAGAACTAATATATTATAAATCTATGAGGAATTACTTCTTAAGTCATCTTCTATAAGGCGTGGAGCGAACTGCTCCATTAAATAGACCATTCCTTATATTATTAAGGTGTGATTTGTTAATTGCAAGTCGAAGTTATACCCTTCTACATAAATCTGCTCTTTGAATTTTGAAACCTATTGGAAGTTTTGGAGCACCACCTTTAAGAAAAGAATAACAGAATGCCAAATTCCTAAGGAAACATCAAATTCCTTCCCCATTTCCAAGTAGAAGAAATAACTTAAACAATGCAAGGAGCCAATAAACTGTTTCATTACATTAGCTTAACCCCCAAAAAATGAGGAAGAAGAGCCAGCAAGAATTCGCCAATGCGAAATCCAGGTTGTTTATGTTCCCAGCAACATTTCCCCCCCTTTCAGCCATGTCAATTGAGGAGATGCTGCTTATTTCTGTGCATTTTCCTTCTCTTAATAGTTGTCATCATAGGAGTGCCTACATTAATCATTATCTTCATCATAAAGCCGCAAAAGCCGATATTTTCTCTCCAGAAAGTGAGGTTGGATACGTATAAGCTAGACGTTTATTCCAATTCAAGCCTGTTTGTTTCATCTGTTGTGTCTCTGACCTTATATGCCGACAATCCTAACAAGATTGGGATGAGTTATAGCCCTTCAAGGCTTCAACTTTACTCCGAAGGACTTCCAGTAGCCAAAATTCGCGTTCCGGGATTCTCTCAACCTGCTCACAGTAATAATGTTCCTGTGAAAACAAGGGTCTTGATTGATTGTGTGAATGTTACCCAAATTTTGGCTGGTTATTTGCAAGATCAATCAGGGCAGGACATTATTCCAATGAAGCTGTTGGGCGATGTTAAAGTGAAACTCCATTTTTTGCATCTAACTCTGCCCAAAATCAAGGTGTGTAGTGCAAAGAACTGCGGTTCTTTTTTTCTTTTCTTTTCCTTTTTTGTTTCCTTGGTATGTATTAATCTTTTGTTTTGAATTATTTTGACTAGAAATTGAATTCTAAACCTGCTACTAATAATACAGACAACTTTACTACCAAACCAATAGACTGATGATTGTGTATTGCTTTTTTTTTTTTTTTTTTTCCCCCTTTTAACTTATTTTCTAATTCTGTAGGTTGCTTTGGATTGTGACCTGAATTTTGTACCGGGGGAGCTAGCATTTATAACAGAAGTTTTACACAACAGAGCAGCTAAGAATCCAATTGTAAGTCTCCTTTTCTTCTTCTATTGTGGTAAGTGGAATCCTGGATTAGCTCGCACACGCTAATTTTGGTGCATGCAAGTTTAAACCAAGACCCCACATGACCATGTTTTCTCACATACCATGTTTTCTTTCCTTTCTTTTCTACATGATACATTTTGTATACTTGACTTTGCAGGCAGCTTTTGTAAATGAATCCAAAAGCTACTTGAAGAACTGTGCCTTTGCTATTTACATATAATAGCTGCTGAAAATTATTGGGGTTTCACCTAATTCCTGGAAGATCTTTTGGGGGATTAATTATTATGTATATATTTTTTGTACATCTCACAATAAATTATCAATCAGAGGCTAACCATCTCCTTTTCCAATTGTTAAAACTCGTTTCAAGATTTGAATTCAAGGACAATCATATTTAATCTGACCTTGCGTTACAAAGAGTCTGGCGAATTCAGTTTGTATTTTCCAATGGATTCCTTGCTTCCATCAGCAAAACTTCAAACACATTCCATTCTTAGTTATCTTTATTGTATATTCAATAAACTACAGCAACATCCTACTTTGATTTCTTTCCCCAGATTAATCTCTGCAACAATGGTGCCTAGTAGATAATGGATGATTCATTAATCTAGACGATCACTTAAAAATTGTAATTTAATTGACAGGACTTATTCTCTACTTTAAAGAGTAGGATTCAACTATTTAAAAAGGTGCAAACCACTTATCGGTTCAAGTGGTTCTACCACTTGACGTTGTGTTATGCACGTGCCTCTGTTAGAGGTTCGATTCTCAGGGACAACATCCCCATTCTCTTTCCCCCATACCAAGTAGGATTATAATTGCTTTGTATATCAAATATATACGGAGATTACTGCATATCAATTTGAACTCTTAAAATTAATTGGAATCTTAATTTATATATAAAAATTAAAATTTTATCTATTAAATGTTAATATTTAAATTTAGAAACTCATTATATATTTTAATATATCAATATTTAATAAAATAATTTTTAAAATTTTGAATTAAATCTAATTAAATAAAATGATATAATTTAAGATTGAAACTCTAATTATTTTTAAGAATCAAACTTATATGCATTTTTCTCCCATATATATATATATATATTTAAAAGGGTAATCTCTAAGGATCTCCTAACTCCTAGCTAGGTTCATATAGATGGTCGGTTTTTGACGAGATTGTTCTATTTAAAAAATCAATTAGGACAAGATATATCTCTTATAATCAAATATGCATGAATAAATCCCTGAAACAATTTGATTAACAACCAATAGATTTTGTTAACTAATGGAGGACGTCATATCCATAACATCAAACTGCCTAGCTGGGAATCAAAATATTCTTGACAGAGGTCTTGTATCCAATTGGGTCATCAAATTGATTGTGAAATTGAAAAAAGAAGATAATAATCTTTTAGAATGCAATTATGAAGAACATAAACCCATCTAATAAAGTCAATGACCCTAAAGGCTCTAATCTATTCTTGTGTTTCACTCATGACTTATGTAGAATAAAACTCTATCATCACAAAGATTAGTTAGGTTTTTAACATGCATCAAGAGAAGGAAAAACATGGGATTTCAGATTCATGCTTTCTTGTTTGCCTTTTATGTCGAGGACAATTTGTCCCCTTTTTTATTGTATGATTTGTATCCCAATTCCTAAAATGTATTTTTTTATTGTATGATTTGTATCGTAACTCCTCAAAGGTGCATTTCCTCGTTTGTAAATCTTGGGTTTACTATTAAGATTGATGATTTATACCAGGCGTACATGCATGTATGTTGATCCTAACTAAAGCGGAAGGGCAGCGTCAAATAAAGAGGAGATAGCGGCGGTCATAGGCCTTTCCTAACTTTGAAAGCCGAAGAGAAATTATGTACGTAATTATTGTAACTAAGCAGTAATATATAGTTTGAGACTTTTGTTTTGTAGTTTGATGATAGGAATTGTTGAATAGAAGATAATTTTTAATATAAGAAGGTTTGCTTTATTTAATAATTTAAATTGAATAGTTTAATATAATTTAGATTATATAATATATCAAAAAAAAATTTTAATCCACCTTACATAGATAGTAAAAGTGATTTAGGTACTCGTGAAACCAACAAATGGTCCCAATCAGTGTAGGGTTTTGATACCAGCAGAGACTACAAAACACAATTCTTTATCTTTAATATGCATCATCATAAAGAACATAATTGGAGGACCTTTAAACAAATAACTTAACAAGAACAGTAGAAAAGAACATACACTGATAAAAAAAACATATTTAATTCTAGCTCTTTACCTTCACTCTCTATATATGACAATGCTGATGAAAATTTCTCATAATACAGCTCCAGCATAACTGCTAATCTACTGCATCATCATGCTAACGGAGAAAATTTTCTAGTGATGGACGGCTTGTAATTTTCTGTGGCAGCATATCAGTGAGGGACACCATTCCAAAGTCACACATCGAAAAACAAAAAAGGTAATCGTAAGCAGTAAATAAAATATCAACCATTATTAACTATTTGACTTAAACTTTTAAGCTTCGTTTAAATTTTGTCTCAAAAAATTATGTGGCCATTGTAGAATTTGATAGTTTTCACTTGGTCCTTTCAATATTAGTTTTTTTTTTTTTTTAATATTGATAATTTTTTTACATTTTTTTAAACTAATCTCCCCTTAAACATTTTTTAGAGTGAACCAACGTCAACCTAGCGCGTTACTTTTCTTTAAAAGTCTTGAGATTCCTTTTTTTTTTTTTAACATAATTGTTAAAATTAAGAACTCTATACACAAGGGCTACAAATAACACATAATCCCAACATGGAGAAAAACAGAGTCATGGGAAGGCTAAGCTCTGTTTTCCTCATCTTCTTGCTTCACGTAATCCTCATTGCAACAAGCTGCAAAGCAAGAAAACCTCAGCAGCAGCCTGTGGATAAGCATCGGACCGCCTTTTTCATCTTCGGGGATTCGTTTATGGATGCAGGAAACAACAACTACATCAACACCACTACTCTAGACCAAGCTAATTTCTGGCCCTATGGAGAAACTTACTTCAAGTCCCCCACCGGACGTTTTTCCGACGGCCGTTTAATACCAGACTTTATTGGTGAGATATATGCAAAATCATCTTTGTCCAATTCTGTCTCGGATAATCACATAATCTTTTTGTTTCATCCTCAACTTTTTCCCTGTTCTGTTCATTTTAAATGGTCATTGCAGCTAAGTATGCCAAGCTGCCATTGATTCCACCCTTTCTACAGCCCGGTTTTCGCCACTTTTACAATGGAGTGAATTTTGCATCTGCGGGTGCCGGGGCTCTGGTAGAAACCTTTCAAGGAGATGTATGTATTATGTTCTTAATTTCTTCTTTAACTAGTTTTTATTTTTTGATATAGTTTCTGCAATTTAGATTAGACTACACTGGATAACGTTTTTGAATGAGTAAGACTTAATATGAGATCCAATCATTCAGGGGCCATGATTTTGTAATTTGATGTAGACTAGATTGATGTTGCAGTTCGGACTGCAAAATATCATTCTTTTTTATTTTACATTTTTACATTTTGACACCTATATCAAGAGGACTATACAATAGAGATAACCTTTTACTTTTCTAAATCTCACCTTATTAATGTCAATAGTTCTAACATGAAACCTATTATCATGCCCTAATCTGCATTTGAATTAGATTACAATTGTTGGTGGCATATAAGTATAGAAACTAACCACTATTAATAATGTACAATTGAGTTTGAGTTTTTAGGGGTTGCTAGACCTTAACTTGAAGAGCTGGTAGGATAGTATTGAATTTGGCTGGGTCATTTCTCCCATGATCCACGATTTAGGGTGTCATAATCTTATCCTTGAGTATCCTTTAAACTTTCTACCTTTAAGGTTACAACATAATACCCAAACTGCAGAAGTGAGGTGAGTCTTAAAAAGGCGAGAACTTTATGGCGTACAAGTTGAGACACTGGTCATAGTGTTGAACCCAGAACCTGTGAGAACCATGAATTTGGTTAAAACAAGTTTTACTTTAATTAGGTTCAGGTTGGAAGCACATGCACCTTTGGGTCCACTACTCCCTTGCTTTGTCAAACATCAATTCAGCCTCTTTTAAACTTACATCTTTTACCCTATCCCCATCTCATCTCATCTACCCTTAAGGCAAAACACCACAAAAATCAACCAAATTCCAAGGTCAACGAAACACAACCATATATGGATCTTAGAGATTTAACTTGAAATCATCAGCTCCACTAGTTTTAACATGGTTATACTGTTACATTTTCTTGCCTTTTTCAGGTGATTGATTTGAAAACACAGCTAAGGTACTTCAAGAAGGTGGAGAGTTGGTTGAGAAAGAAATTGGGCAATGATGAAGGGAAGCTGACAATTTCAAAAGCTGTCTACTTGGTCAGCATTGGTAGCAATGATTACATGAGCCCTTTCTTGACTCATTCCACCTCCCTTAATACCTACACTGTCTCCACATTTGTTGGAATGGTAATTGGAAACTTGACATCAGTCATCAAAGTAAGTATTTTTGCTTGTTTTTTAGGTATGTATGAAATGAAGTTGCATTTTGTGAGAGTTTAGTGACTTGGATTCATTTTGTAGGAAATTTATAAGAGTGGAGGGAGAAAATTTGCATTCGTAAACTTGCCAGATTTGGGTTGTCTTCCTGCTTTGAGATTAATTGAATCGAGGAGAAAAGGTAGCTGCTTGAGAGAGGCTTCATTGCTTGCAAGATTGCATAATAAAGCTCTCTCAAATCTACTCTATGGTTTGGAGAGAGGATTGAAAGGGTTCAAATATTCACTCTTCGACTTTAATGCTAATCTCAAACAGAGAATGCTTCATCCTTCAAAATATGGTATGTTATTCAAAGCATTTCCATGTAGTATGGGCTTAAGTCCAAAGAAGTTGTGTTTACAGTCTAGGGCTTGGCAAAGGCCCACATGGGAAAGCATGATTTGCAAACGAATTTGTTCGTAACCTATATTTGATTTTATTATTAATGAAGGCAGGAAAACGCCAATTCCCCTGAAATAATTTTCAGTTTGGGTGTAGATGACATGCTTTTAACCCGACACTAAAGTTGAACTTGGTGTATGTCCCACGGTATTCTTTGACATTTTTAAAAAAAATGTCACAATCATTAGTTTTGTTTTGTATTTCTAGCAGATTGCCAATTAATTGGATGGAAACTTGTTTGATGTAGGTTTTAAGGAAGGAGAAGCTGCTTGTTGTGGGACAGGCCAATTCAGAGGAGTATACAGTTGTGGAGGAAAAAGGATAGTGAAGGAATTTCAGCTATGTCAGAATCCAAATGATTATGTGTTTTGGGACTCTTTCTATCTCACTGAAAAGGCGTACTGGCAATTGGCACATAAGATGTGGAGTGCTTCAAACCATTCTCATGATGTTAGCCCTTATAGCATCAGGAAATTATTCCGAACCCAATAAGCATATTTATGAATTTTTTTTTTTAATTTGTATCTAGCTATAAGCATAAAATGTGGACTTAAGTTACACCCACTCTTGAAGGTGGAGTTTCATTTAGCATCTATAGATGGATTAGTTTCGTAGATATTTGTGAAATTAGTCCAGTTAAACATCTGCTTATGTTTATAATTATTATTTGTTATTAAATGAATAAAAATATATAATATTAAAAATAAATCTGAATTAAAAGAGTTAATTATATGATAATAGATTATGATTGTAAACTTATAATATTACATAATATTATAATTATTTTATTTTCAAATAAATTTCCCGTATCATTACGTTGAGGCCTATGGCTGCAATGGCAATGTCCAATTCTTAGCATTATTATATTAAGCAATTTTAAAGGAGACGATCAAAAGGAGAATAAAAATGCAATTTTGAAGAAACTAAAGAGGTTTTGAATTTGTCAAATAAGTACAATGTAATGTAATTGGTTGTTTCTCACCCAAGTTTCAAAATTCAATTATAAAAAAAGGATATATGGGCCGTGGGCAGTGGCGGAGCTAGGGATTTTAGTTAGGGGGGTCAGGTTTTCAAGTCTCAAAATAATATATTGTAATTTTGAAAACTTACTTTTATATCATAAATTAAAATAATATTTGACAAGTTTTTATGTCACAAAATCTATCTGTAATAGAGTTTATACTAAATGATCGAATTATTTCATTTTTAATATAAACAATCAAAAAGTTTGAAAGGAATTCATCTTCCATTTTGCTACGAAGTCTCATTTTCACAATTTTCATGGTAGAAAAATGCTCTTTTGGTTGTTGTTGTAAAAACTGAAAGAGTAAGCACCAAAATAATTAACTTGTAAATGAGATTATAGACTTGTGATTTTCTTGTCTCCACAAGTGATTGACATAACTCAGAAATATTTGAAAAATTATGAAAACCTTGATCACAACTCATTTTCATCTCATAATATCGAAGCTTTGATTTCAAATGAAGTTTCTCCATCTCTAAAAAAGCTTGAGGTAGTAATTGACAACATAAAACCTTTAAGCATTTAATTGGTTATCAAGATTTCTAAAATAGGATATCAATATGTAGTGGTAGAGCACTTAATTATCTAAGTTATCAGTTATTTCTAGTAGAAGAGATTCTCCATTTTCACGGGTGAGATTGGCAAATATAAAATATGACAACATACTGTCTCTTCACCTTACCACTTTCTACAATCAAATAATTTTTTTCCCCTTTTAAAAGCTAATTACGCTTTATACTAGTTTATCTTCCTTTTATACTAGTTTATCTTCCTATTGCTCTATCTCTATATGACTATATCCAAGGTTTTTCCTTTTATTGGGTTTATATATGTTCCCTTTATGGATCTATACTTTTTTTTTTTTCCATTTTTTGTTATTCCGATCCAATTCTATTCCATATAATTTCAATATTATCATAATATTCAATTTTATTTGTAATCTCAACAACTATAAATCCTAAAAGGAAATTATACAATTTTTTTGTGATAATAAAAAATTAATAAGTTTCATTATTTAAATATTACTCCCTCCGTATTAGAATAATTGATTTTTTTGTTTTATCTTCAAATGAAGGATTTGAAAATAATTTCTATACTGACCTATTTTATACTTAAAAAATAACTAAGAATAAATATCTATTTCAATGATAAGATAAATAATTAAAGTTGAGAAATAATTATAGGGTTAAAGCAAAAAAAAAAAAGGAACTATTTATCTTCCTTAAAATAAAAAAATTACTATTATTTTAAAATAAATTCTAAATAAAAAATATCAATTATTCTGGGACATGGGGAGAGTATACTAATTTTCTTGTTAGAATATATCTACTAATAAGTATAAAATAAAATTTTAAAATAAAATAAAAAAAACTTATAAAACTTAAAAGTTGAAACCCAATATGACAATATATAATTCATATAAAATGAGATAGTGTTGTTGTTAATTTTTTTCAAGAAGTTAGTGGTCATTTTGTCTTCAAGCTTTCAATGACAAGAGTAACGTTGCAATTGCTTGCATTGAGCTGCCAATGAAGTCTTTTTTTTTTTTTTTTTTGAAGTTGTTGAGTTGAAATTGAAGGAGATTGGCACTATTGCACTGGGACAGTAGGGTTGGATAATGAAGAAATGATGTAAAAGACACAAGAATCTATTTTTCTTTTTCTAAAGAATTCAGTTGTAGGTCTTAAAATGGGTGGATTTTAAATAATAATAAATAATTAAATTATTAAAATGGATAATTAATTATATAAATTATATTTAGCCTCCTAAAATAGCCCATTATTATTGGATTTTTTTTTAATTTTATGTATTTTAACAATTAAAAATATAACATTTAATTAGCCTCCTAAAATAGCCCATTATTATTGGATTTTTTTTTAATTTTATATATTTTAACAATTAAAAATATAACATTTAAAATTTTAATAATAATAATTAATAAATTAATTATATATATTTTTAAATCCCACGGGGTCACCGCCCCCTGCCCGTAGGCAACACTTATCTACAAAAATCTTTATCAGTCAAGATTCGTCAGTACATGTGGAAGGGATAAGGTCAACGGCTGCGGAATTTTCCCTGGAGCATAGCCAAAGAATTAGAAGACCATCTAACGCTTGTGCAAACAATTGCAGAATGTACATTTAACATAAAACAATCCATTTCCTAGCATGGAAAGTTTAAGGTTCCTACTCAGTGTCTTGCTTCTCTGTGCGAATTCCGCCATCCAGATTCGCGGCCATGACCTGCTAAAAGATCATGTTGCCTTCTTCATCTTTGGAGATTCAATTTTCGATCCTGGAAACAATAACTACTTCAACACCAGTGCTCAGGCAAATTACCCGCCGTATGGAGAAACCTTCTTCAAATACCCTACTGGAAGATTTTCTGATGGCCGTATAATTCCAGATTTTATTGGTAAGACTCCCCAATTCTTGGTTTTCCTTAGTAGCGTAGTGTTTAATGTCCCTTTGTTCTTAACAGTGTGTCCATGTTTCAGCTGAATATGCAAAATTACCACTAATCCCTCCATATCTGCAACCTGGAAATCATCAATTTACTTATGGGGTGAATTTCGCATCAGGTGGAGCTGGTGCCCTGGTTGAAACTAATCAAGGACTGGTAAGCTTGTGCTTAAAAACCATTTATTGTCAATTGGTTTTAAGTTAAATAGGCATTCGACTCTTCTTGCTTCCTAACAATACACCTTGTCAATCTCTTACTGAAACGTTACTTTCTTTCTGTTACAGGTGATAGATCTAAAAACTCAAATAAGTTATTTCAGAAAGGTTGTGAAGCTATTGAGACAAAATTTGGGTGATGCAAAAGCCAAGACATTACTTTCCCGGGCTGTCTACTTAATTACGATTGGAACCAATGATTATGGATCCCCAATCCTCGCAAACTCCCCCGTGCCTAAATCCTTATGGGATGAATTCGTGGGGATGGTGATAGGCAATCTGACTGCTAGTATTGAAGTAAGGACACACAGATCAACCATTTTATTCCTTTACCTTGTCCTTGTTTAAAAATGGTGATACTTTTTTCCCATTTTTCAGGACATATGTAAGTTAGGAGGGAGGAAATTTGGGTTTTTGAGTTTGGGGCAACTGGGATGTCGGCCAATCCTTAGAGTACTCGTCCCTGCGAATGTAAGTTCTTGCTATGAAGAAGCAACAGCATTGGCAGAGCTACATGATAGAGCACTTTCTAAAGCTCTGCAAGAGCTACAGAGTCGACTAAAAGGATTCAAATATGCATACCAGAATATGACTCTTTTTTTAAGTGAAGGGGTCAATGATCTTTCAAAATATGGTAAGCCATCTACAACTTTGTCCAGTTTGGCTGTTTAATAAACAACAGATAACTGATAGTTTTGTTATTATTACTTATAATTTAAATACCTTTATTTGTCTAATTAGAGAAAAAACTGTGAGTAAGCAACAACTAAACCATACTGGATCTTAAAAAGGATCATATCATAAAATAATTAGTCTTATTATAAAAGGAAGAAAAAATTGATAGTTGTGTTAATATTTATAATTTCAACACTTTTATTTATCCAATTCGAGAAAAAAATCTGAGTAAAGAACAAATAAACTACACTAGACTGTAAAGAAGATTAAATCATAAAATGATTGATCTTATTATAAAATGAAGAGAGAAGAACATTAAATTATATAATAATTGATTCGATTCTAGAAAAAAAGAATACTACACCATTATGAAAATTAGTCAAGCAAGAAGAAATCAATCATGTAATGATTGATCCTCTTTAGGCCAAAGCCTTTTATGAGCGTGAGATCATATTAAAGGCATTTAGTGATGTTTTCATGATTTATGTCTTGAAGTTTTGAAGGAGGTAAAAACAGCATGCTGTGGAAGCGGCAGATACAGAGGAATTTGTAGCTGTGGAGGAAAGAGGGGCCTGACAGAGTATGAACTATGTGAAAATCCTAATGAATATTTGTTCTTTGACTGCGCCCATTTCACTGATAGGGCCAACGGCAAAATTGCAGAGCTGATGTGGAGTGGAAATTCCAGTGTGATAGGGCCATACAACCTCAAAGAACTATTTTCTACTTACTGATTCAACAGCCTGTGTGCTTGAACCAAGTAGATGGGGATTTTTCCTGATAATTACCTAGCTACTATCCCTTAAAAGGGAATGATTTGTTAATAATTTCCTTTTTAGATAAGAGATTAATTGAGGATTGACTGTGTCTGGAATAAATAGGAGACGATTAGCATGTGTTGGGTTCAAATTTTGGCTACATTTGAGAGTATCATGTTGGGATGTGCTGTGAATGTTGTTTTTTGGACTTTTCTTATTCTAAAAATATATGAAATATTAATTAAAATTTATTATTTATGACAAATTTACAATTTTAGATAATTTGCTATGGGAAAAAGAGTTGATATGATCCATGTGTTGGAGTATCTTTTATACTTGTAATAATAAATAAATTTCTTTGTTATTAAAAAAAATTTCCTCTACCAAAATAATTTTAAGGATTTGACTGAAAACTTACAAAAGTTTGAAGATTAAAAAGTAATTCATCTCCAAATCCTAATTTTCAAGGGCTTAGTTAGAAAAATATTAAAAATTTAAAGACTTAAATAACAAGTTTTTTCTTGTCCCCTGCCACATGGCATTCTAATGTGGGCTTTCTTCCATAATTCCATTTAAGAAAAGATAGGTAGAAATTTAATTTATTGGGACCAAATGTGAAGTAGATATGGGAGTTAATATAATAGATGAGGATGTGAAAAAATAAAGATTGTACACTATATAGCTAATAGTCTAATGATGAGAAAAGGGAGTTTAGCGGGAAAAAAAAAAATTATGTCATGGGCCACTTGAAATATATTGGGCCTTAAAGCCCTTTATTATTCAATTGGGCTTTAACTCTGCTTAAGGGACTTAAATGAAACTTATAAAAGTTTCAAAATTGCTAATTTGCTATTATATTATCAGATATTGATAAAAAAAGAAAAACCCAAAAAGGATGTTATATATGATCCCTAATTGTTTTTTTTTTCTTTTTTTTTTCCTTAAATTCTGGTCCCTGCCGTTGTGAATTTATGTTTTGGTCCATAAGTAATAGTTCAATGAAAAAGAATTTGAATATATTTCAACAAATTAACATCCTAACATGAGTTCAGCTTGTATAAGAACAACATAATTTGGGTGGACATCTTGGCACCCAAGCTTCATAATTCAATTCACAAGAATTCCAAGTCAACTAAATAAACAATGGGAGTCTTAGCAGGGGTAAAATTTTTTTCTAGGAAAATCTTCATTAGTCAAAGATTAACCAATCAAGCACCAAGTGCCCCTGATAAAGTTAGCCTTCAAACATTTTTATCTGGTGCAAAATGTCAGACATGATCTTCATTATGTTCTCCATATTTTAGGATTATGATCCTTCTGAAGTCAATTCCTCTTGCTTTAATTATATTACTACAAAATGATAAGTTAGTGATAATAATAAAACCTTTTTGTATATGAATTTGAGGTACCCTTGCACTTTTTAGTAAAATATTTCTTTGTCAATCAAAAAAAAAAAAAAAAGCCAGGATGGGGTTTTGAAATATTAAAATTTCTTATTTGTATTATGTTGTATGCAGATATCTAATGATTTATATTAATAAAACGTTAATTGAATAGTGATGTTTTTAGTATTGGTTGGACTCATAATCGCTGCCCACTATTTTTAGTAAGATCTTTGATTTGTATTGTAAGTTCTATGATATTTTGATTGGTAGATATTTATTAAGAGTTCATTGATTGCAAAATAAGAAATTGTGAATGAAAGATAGCTCAAGAGGTCTATTCTTATCCTGTAGTTTGAATTGTGCAGTTTAGTAAATTTGGATTACACAATACTTTTTCGATGTATTAATATGCTATGAATTGTAATTTGTACACAGAAAAATAATAAATTGGCCCTTTGGTCCACTTCAACGTTATATGGTTTATTTTTGAGATGGCGCAAAGAAATTTCTTGGTTAATTTAATGCTGCAAATTTGGACTGAGATTTTAAAAATTCAGTCTGATCAAACTCATTCTGCATTTCCTTGTAGCAAAAGACGTCAAATTCTATAAATAACAAAAAGGGGGAAATGCATAACACAAACCAACCCATTTTCTAAGATGGCAAATTTGAAGTTCCATGTCTGTTTCTTGCTCTTTTGTGCTAGTTCTCTCAACCTAGTTTGCTGCCATAGCCTGCCAAAAGACCATGTTGCCTTCTTCATCTTCGGCAATTCGTTGTTTGATTCTGGAAATAATAACTACATCAACACCATTGCTAAGGCAAATTACTGGCCGTATGGAGAAACCCTTTTCAAGTACCCAACTGGAAGATTTCCGATGGCCGTTTAATTCCAGATTTCATCGGTAAGGGCTCTTCAATTTGTTTTCCTTTGTACAGCTTTAAATATCGCTTTTTCTCTAAACATTATTAGCTTTACTAATTACAGCTGAATATGCAAATTCCACCATATCTACAACCTGGCAATCATCATTTTGCTTATGGGGTCAATTTCGCATCAGCTGGAGCTGGTGCTCTGGTTGAAACCAATAAAGGACTAGTATGCACTCACATTTTTTGTTGTTAGTATATATCAAAAGTTAACTACTGAATATTCGACTTTAATTATAAATCAAGAATTTTTTTAGTGAACATTAATTTGACTAACAAACTTCTAGTATATCCTTCCTCTGCCTTTCATATAAGGTATTTGTATTTTTTCTTTTCGGATTGTTCAAAATCAAGACTCCTTAACAATTAAAATACTAAAAATAATAATAAAAAGATTTAAATACTCTTAATAAATCAACATGCAAAAAAAAAATAATAATAATAAGTATTGGAACAATTTTATACACGCTTTTGACATTTTCAATGCCAGCATGTTCCATTTTCAATATTCTCCTTTTTTTCTTTAACTAAAACGTTGGTTTTTATTTTTCAGGCGATTGATTTGAAAGCTCAAATAGGTTATTTCAAAAATGTTGAGAAGCAATTGAGACTGAAATTAGGAGATGCAAAAGCCGAAGAGTGCTCTCTAAAGCTGTTTACTTCATTAGCATTGGAACCAATGATTATGTATACCCTATCCTCACAAACTCCACCGTGCCTAAATCCTTATGGGACGAATACGTGGGGACGGTGATAGGCAACCTGACTACCAATGTCAAAGTAATCAAATTCACCAACATATCAACTATTTTATATCTTTCTAGTTCTACCCTTTCATTTTACGTTATGATAATAAAATGTGCTATCCATTTCTTGTTCCAGGAAATATATAACGTAGGAGGAAGGAAATTCGGGTTTTTGAGTCCAGGGCAATTAGGCGGTATACCCATCCTAAGGATGCTTGTGCCTGCCTTGAGGAAGCAAATGCATTAGCAGAGCTACATGATAAAGCACTTACAAAAGCTCTGCAAGAGCTACAGAGCCAACTAGAAGGATTTAAATATGCAAACCACAATTCCTCTGTTTTCTTGAGCGAAATTGTCGACGAACCTTCGAATTAGGAGAGAAGATTAGAGAAGATGAGGAATTTTCATGATCGTTAACTTCTACAATAAGCCATTTCATTGTGTGCTTTTTTGTAAATATATTTTACTTGCGCTTTAAAATTAATGGCCATAAAAAAAAAAATCACTACAACATAAATTAAGTTTTTTTAGTGTGTTATTTTAAATTCTACACCACTTATTTGAAGATATTTGAACAAGAGAATTCAACATGAAAGTCTATATTTTTAACCATGGTAATATCTTTAAGGGATAGTGAAAAATGTATTTGAACTACTTTATTTTTCAAGGTTATTGAAATGAACCTTTTTCTTAAATAAATTTTCAACCTAAGCACTTTGATGTTGAAATAAATTACTTTAATAATTTTTTAGTTGATTTTAAATTACCCAAAATTTAATAGATGATGCTAGCATACATCACCTTTCCATAAAACTCATTGTATATACGTCAAGATCTTGATGATTTGGTGATTGTGGGCGCAATTTTGTGACATGGCTAATTTTCTTTCTTGAGTTGGACGTAATTGGGTGACATGGCAAAGAATGGATGACATGGACTAATTAAATGACAAAACTAACCTTGACTTATCTGTGCCTTTAAACTGGGGGATTGGGAATCAAGGGTTTCATTCTTCAAATCTAGTAAACAAATCCTATTCCATGGTCACTGCCTACTCTAACTAAATATAGCTTTTATTTTTGAGAACGTTGATGTTTAAGCACTTTTTATATATCTAAAGCATTTAATTATGGTTTTCGTAGACATAAATCTCAATTTCATTTATAAGTCACAATTCTTACAAAATTCATTTTCAACATTTACAAGTCTAATCAAGAGTTTAGTTGTTTATTTTCTTCTTTTATAGCAATATAGTTGGCCCCCTAACATAAAATCTTAGTTTTGCCACTAAAATCAGGGATATATTGCAATTCTTGTTAAGTATACTCAAGACTTAAGAGATTGTACTCATATGCTAAGAATTAGTTGGAAAGGTCCTCAAGGTGTCTTAGGGAAAAAGTGTTTGAAATATCTAGTTGAAAGCTTTTAAACTTTAAACTCTCATTTAGAGATCTAAAAATCAAAATTTAAGTAAAGTGAAGAGGGATTTTAGAAAATGGGAAGGTTCTTCTATGAAGGCAGAATCACAGCAGAGGATGAGTAAGGAAACAATCACAACAGATAAGGAAATCACGTCCAAGCAAGAAACCATATCAAAGCAATCAAAGACTGATCCAAGGAGCAATAGCTGCAACGATCAAAATGTAGAGCAACGGTAGTATTGCTCAATACTAGGCACTAATTTAGGATCTAAACATTTACATGTAAATATATATATACATCAAATCATTGTACAGAATTATTCAAGGAAGAATACAATCAATTTCTTCTAATTCTTTCTCCTATCTGGTATCAAAGCAGGTTACCTGCATCTGAATACTTAAATCCATTTTTTCTTCTCTTCACAAATATCCTCCTTTACATCACATATCAAGTTCAACAAAATCAGACTGATGGCTAGAAACAAGAATCAGCTTACTATCCAAAGCTTCCACCAGATGGCAAGCTTGGTTTCAGTAAAGCTGTCAAGCTCAAACTTCCTTCTATGGAAATCACAGATTTATCCATTGATTCGGAGTGCTCAAATTATGCATCACCTTGAGGAGGAAGTGGCGCCAACAATGACAGTGATCAAAGATGAAAAAGAAGTGCTCAATCCAGAGTATGAAGTCTGGCTGAATAATGATGGGCTGTTTACAAGTTGGCTGCTTGGAACTATGAATGAAGAAGCATTAAGTCTTGTTGTTGGCTGTGAGTCAGCTTTTCAAATCTTGAAAAGCTTAGAGGATCATTACCTAGCTTCAACAAAGGAGTAAGAAATGCATCTCAAAGGACAGTTGGCGGTTAAACGAGGAGATGGTGAACCTCTTGAAGAGTTCATCAGAAAATTCAAAAGAACTTGTGATAACTTGGCTGCCATTCGAAAGCCTCTAGAAGACTTAGACAAGGTGTTTCAACTTTCCAGGGTTGTTGGAACACGACTTCAACCTTATAATCTTGCTGTTCTATCAAAAGCCCCATATCCTACTTTTACTCAATACATTGCAAGTTTGCAAAATAATGAAAGAGACTTGCAAAGTGCAGAACAAGAAAACAAGGACAAAATTCTAGTTTATGCTCAAGCCTTTGTTGCACATAGGGGGAGAGGACATCAACGTGGCAGAGGCTATGGTGGTGGCAGAAACTTCAATTCTAGAGGCAGAGGCTTTGTTCAAGCTGGGAATTACCATAATTATTGGACGAGCAATAACAACAACAACAAAAGCCCTATGGTTAACAATAATCCTCCACCACAGCAACCCATGTCACATAAATCTCAAGAGAAGAATGTAAGACAACAAGGTAAGAATAGCTGTCAAATCTGTGGCGTTGTAGGACACACTGCTTTGAAATGCTGGTACAGATTTGACCATGCATATCAATGTGAAGAGTTGCCTCAAGCACTTGCAACTTTGAGCCTACTAGAAGACAAAAATCAAAATATCTATGTTGACAGTGGGGCTAGTGACCATATGATCTCAGATTCAGGTAAACTCTATACTAAGAGACCATATTATGGAAAACAAAAAGTTTTTACAGGTGATGGCACTCCTTTGCAAATTTCTCATATTGGATCTGCTACTGTTGGCTCTTTAAAACTTAATGATGTTTTAGTAGTTCCTAAACTTAAGAAAAATCTCCTCTCTATTAGTAAATTTACTGATGAAAATCCATGTGTTTTTGAATTCTCATCTAATGGTTTTGTGATTAAGGACCAAGTAACGCAAGCGATTTTGGCAAGAGGAACTAGGGAGGGTCAATTGTACGCACTGGCTGAAGGAGAAAAGCTTGCTTTATCTGCTATTTCAGATAAAGCTACTGAGTCCATTTGGCACCAAAGGCTGGGACATCCAAATTCTAGCATTCTAAAAACTCTAGTTTCAAAGAATAATATTTCTGTGTCTAATTGGACTAAGCACCCTCTTTTGTGCACCAGTTGTCAAATGGGGAAGAGTTGTAAGCTTCCTTTTTCTAGAAATAATGAAAGAACAGATTTTCCTCTTCAGAAAATACATTGTGACTTGTGGGGGCCTTCCCCAGTTCAATCACCTAACCACTTTACCTATTATGTGATTTTCGTTGATGATTTTAGCAGGTACACATGGTTTTATCCAATGATTAAGAAATCTAACTTCTTTGGTATTTTCCTAAAGTTTCAGAAGTTGGTAGAAAATCAATTTAACCAAAGAATCAAAATTTTCCAGTGTGATGGTAGTGGAGAATTCTCTAGCATGGCTTTCACTAATCACCTAGCAGAATGTGGCATTAAGCAACAAGTGTCCTGCCCCGGTACTCCAGAACAGAATGGAGTTGCTGAAAGGAAGCATAGACACATTGTTGAGACAGGTTTGACCATGTTACTCCATGCTAACATGCCATCACGTTACTGGGTTGATAGCTTTTCTACTGCTGTTTTCCTTATTAATAGAATGCCTACTCCTGTATTACACAATAAGACTCCATATT